ACAAGAAGTGGAATAAGTATCGAGGGTAGTCTAGCGGGGCGGTGGGACGGGCTACGCTCGGCTTGGACTGGCGCGGAATAGGATAGGATAAGTCGGCGTATAGATCAGTGAGTGGTGGGTGGGCTCTTCAACATTTGACCAGGAATTTTTATGGAGCCTCTTCGATGTTTTCTTTTCGCTTCTTTCTTTTCTTTTTTCCCCTTTTTCCCTCTCCGAAAGATGGACCTACGGTAGTTGGTAGGCAAACCCAGATGTGAAAAAGTCAAATCCGCCCAAAGCTGTCCTAACAGTAAATAGCAATCAAGAGTGCCGGTGGTGCAAGTAGCAGCGGAAGAAGGGGGACGGGAAAAATAAGGTGGGAAAATGTGGGAAAAAATTGTTTCGCTCGGGGTTCGTCAGAGAGAGTCAGAGTGCGATTGGTGGGCGGGCCGAGGAGGGGCGATGGCCCTCAGAACGACGGCAGAGAGGTTAAAGGACAGACAACCAGGAAGCCGGAGGTCCCAAATGGACTGTGGGCAATTGAGGAATTTTACTGGGCAGACCACCGGTAAGGGAGCAGATCAATTTATCAAATCGGCTGCCCAACTTCATATATGGACCAGCAGGAAGGGAGAATTAACCTGTTCCCAGCCTGGCCAAACAGTTGGAAGAGATAGGGTATCCAACGGTATGCGAACTCCCCGATACACAGTACGGTACTTCACAGTTCCATCGCGAACCTGCTGAGCACCTCTGTCTGCCTGTCTTAGCTTGCGTCAAATCCAATTGGGATCCCAAGGCGGGCTGAAGATGGTACTTTTTGCCGCGAACATGGCAAAAGGGGAGGAGAGAAAAAGAGACACAAAAGCAAAAAAAAAAGAATTATATGCCACCAATTTTGTCTTTGTACGCCGCAGACGCAGGGCCCAACCGTGCTCTCTTCCATTTTGGCTGCACGAACCGAGGGGCAAGCCTATAACACACAAATAAAAACCCCACCAAAAGAGGCCTGTCGGATCCCGCAAAGAAAAAAGAAAAAAGAAAAACTAACTCCACTGGACCGTGACCGCCTGAGCAAAGCTCAGAAAGACACTAATTGATACACGAGTAAGAAGAGGGAGCGACGAGCGCCGACGTTTCCGATCTATTGTACGAGTACTAGTACTCGTAGCTTTCCCCAAACGCGCACTGACGGCCCAGGAATGGCTTACAAGTACGAGTACTGTACGGGTACGAGTACCGTACATGAGGTTAAGGAAGCTTAGCCAACGCCGTCCAACCCCTCCCCCTTTGATAGCATACTGGTAACCAGACAGATGGTGATGATGAGAGCACCTGCACTGCACATTCTCTCTCTGGTCACACACTGTCACCCCGGTTTCGTTCTGCGAGTTGCAGTCCAACCAAGTGTTGCCTCCAGGACCAGATCTCGCCGGGGAGAATTGCAACAACGTGACCAAACCGAATCTTAACGGCATGCAAGCCTCCAACCGCAGTCATGAGTTCTCCAACGCCCTATCATCACCACCTCCACTCAAACCCGCTTTGATGTGGGGATATCAAAACCCACCTGTCCCGAGAAAAATCAACCATAATATTATGATATTATAAAAATCATGATACTTGTACAAGTACAGGTAAGAAACCCCCGCCCGCAGTAATAAATCACGCCGAGTTTCCCAAATCCAAGAACCCAAGAGGGGAAAAAAGAAAAAAAACTCCTACGTCAGGTCATTTATCATATCAGATCTAACCCACTGTAAGCCCGATCCGGGGAAAAGCCCCCCCCCCCCCAAACCCACACAGAACCTAGAACCCCTACCATACCATAGTGTACTCGAGTACTGGTTCCATTCCAGCCCATAATCATAATAAAACCACCCTTCCCTCCTTCCCACCCAGTTGCAAATCTCAAACCTCTCGACACCTGAATCATGGAGCTTTTCTACGGTGCACAAAAACAGTGAGTGGAGCGCCTTATGAATTAGTAAGTGAATGATATTCGGCCCATTCCGTGTGACCAGAGACACCAAACGAGGCAGCGCGTGACTATCCTGCCCATCCCCCCACACTCCCTCCGTCACGGCAAAGGTTCCGCACAAGTCATAAGTCACCTTGCCATGCCAAACCGTGGACATATAAATTATGTCACATCTCGAATCCGTATCGGTATTGCCACGGTAACATCAACAAGTACGGTACGGGGACTGCCGGCAAACCCAGCCCGCATTTCCCCGAGTGCAACCATCAACTTACCGCCGGGGATTCCTGGAAGCGCCGTGGAAGAGATAACACGCCTTCCTCGGTTGATTGATTCCATCGAATCTTGATCCGCTGCAGGAATCCGCTCGGTTGGTTCCCTCCCCCCCACTCCCTTGCCCCCTCCCTTCTCCCCGCCCCTAAGCTATCCCACCCAACCCGAACGGCCCCACAAGGGTTGGTTGTGGAATATCCATCCTCTCTCACTCGTGCTCCCCGGGTCGCAAAGTCCCGTCCGCTATATCTGCCCACAGTGGTGCGGCCCCTTAAGTCCGAAGGCTAGGCATAGGATCACAGCATTATCATGCGTATATACCGGTAGGTCACCCATTCTTTTAGATCTAGTACGGAGCTCGCGGTACAGCAAACCGGCACACAGCATGCCCTCTTCACAGAAATAAAGGGATCCCAGCATCCTTCTCCTCGTGCCGGCGCTCGCGGTACCGGTAATCGGGAAAGGCATACCTTGACCGGCAACTTGAAAAGATCAATCCCGCGGCCGAAGAAGACAAAACACAGCCATACCGGTAAGGCACCGCACTCGAATATCACACGGCACGGGTACCGTACTCGCACGTCGTCGGTGCACCGTATCAAGAACTTTGAAGCTCCCCCAATCGATGACACCATGATACCGAGATCACCCCGCACCACACTCCGGCACTTTACTTGGATCATCCATCCACCCATCCATTTACTCCCCCATCACAACACTTGCCAACCCAACCCACCACAGCCGACCCTCTCCTCTCCCATCCCATCTACGAGTACAGTACTGTACAAGTATCATACTGGTGGTCTAAATCCAATGCCAAGGCTCGGTACCGGCAATTGAATATCATACCGAGACAGCTCGCGATGTGCGCTGGCACCTGCTCTCGAGCTTAAGTCAACTTACTCGAGTACCGGTACCTGTACCGGTACTGCAGAGTAGCAGACTAGGCCGTCTTGCTTTCCTTTTCTTTTTTTTTCTTTACTTTTTACTTTTACTTTTTACTTTTCCCAACCCGGCTCAACCTGTTTTGTCTTCGCCCTGCTCTCCGGATCCTTGGGAGCCCGGGGAATTCTGACGACTTTTGAAGTTCGTCTCGTTATGTAATATGATAGGCATCATGTGGGAAAAAGCAAATTTGGTTTCTTTTTTTTCCTTCTTTTTTTTTTTGTTTGATACTTTTCATTCCGTTTTTTGTTCCATCGGTAAGCGAACCATACGAGTATTCTTTCCTTCTTCATTCCTTCCCTTCTCTTTCTTTCTTTCATCTCTTCGATTTCTGTGCAACGGGTGTGTGGTTGTGGTGTACCAGATTGAGTGCCGGTACGGTACTGTACGGTACGAGTTGAGCACACACCATGTTACGGCACTCGTACGGTGCTGCGCGAGACCGGAATCGTGAACAGGAGGTTGTCATTCATGGATTCAAACACGAACGCAAAGTTCGGGGCAAACCATCATAATACCGGTACATGTACTCGAGTACCCACCATTAATGAGATAGAGGAAGAAGGAAAGAAAGAAAGAAAGCGGGTGAGAAGAAGAAGAAAAGAAAGTCCCAGACAGTCTCAATTATTATACCACGCCATGATAGGACCCAAAACGACCCCCTGTCACAATCCTCCACACCCCGGTTTCACCGAAACCGACATCTGTATGGTATCCTACAGTACGAGTGTAAGCGCGAGTATATCATACTTGTAGCGAAATCCGGTATGTCATCTTATCAATGGCGCCGTACTAGTACTAGTACAGTGCCATCCAGTACGATTACTGACCCTGGTGCATTACGGTCTATATCACACCGAGAGCACAACCCATCACTCGAATCAGCGGATTATCAGCCACCAGCACGAGTATGAAACACTGGTACTCGTACAAGTACATTATCGCCCCCACAGTCAGCGACCTTTGCAACCACGGACGGCTTTCGAGAGTATCCCGAACCGTGTTCGGCTCACGGGCGCGGTGCCGATGGTCCACTCACAATACCGTAATTGCCGTACTTGGCAATTCGTAGAAAGTTACCGGGACACCTGGGTATAATATTTACTGTACCGGTGATTGATATCATACTAGTTATATATACGGCACACACCGTATCATACTCCTATCGTACTAAATCGGGCGCTGGGCGTTTGGATAACTTACTTGTACGAGTACAAGTACTCGAGCACAGCACCTCGTGAACACGGTACCGTAGGCGAGTATCATCATATCGTACGGAAACCGCGATCCTACATACCGGTAGCACCCCCCCCCCCCCCCTTCCCTCTCCTCCTCCTCGTATTGTTGCAACAGTCCAGTCCAGCCCAAGCCAACCCAGCCCGCGAAGAACCAAAGCGGATCGAACCAATAGAGTGAGGTACTGTACGCAAAGCGTTCCTCTCATCAAAAAAATCTCCTTGCCCGTACGGGGATCGGCGGGTGCTTGGTCTAAGAGGATTCATGACTTTTGACTTATGATACGCTATTAATTCCCCACCGTACGGTTAACTTATGCACCGTGGAAGCCGTTTCTGAGAAACGTCGGGTGCAGCGGGAAGTTTGACTGGCCATGCACTTTATCCTTTTACACCCTCCAGTGTACTCATCTCATCTGACACTTTCATCTCGCTTTCGAAACTCAATCTTCAACTCTTCCCTGGCTCGCTCCAGGCCTGGTCCCAGTCCAGAACCTATATACCGGTGTATAAATATATCCTGGTAATACGAGTTTGTACTAGTACAAGCACCATAACCCCGTCCACCGTGGCCCTGGCCATATCTATCACCCATCCTTGCTGCCTTCTAATGTTGAATAGTGACGATTTTGAGGAATCTGTATCAAATTCTACAGCACAAGTAAAAATTCTCATCGAACAACCAGACCATGCTAAAAAACCACAGTAAAAGACTGTGAAAACCGCACCTAGCACTAACCGAGGAACAAGGAAATAACATAGGGTAAGGCCAAGAGAACATAGAACCGGACTTTTAAAGTTTTAAAAGACAACTAGTTGAATTGAACGAAACTTTGAGAAAAAGAGAAACACAGACCGAACGACTGGGCCAACAGATAGAAGAGAAAAAGTCGTATCAACGCCTAGCATGGTGAAACTAGAACGCAGCTATTCCCAACACATTTTACGACCCATGCCATTCGGTTGCGGTTCCCCCCTCATTCCCCCTACCGTGCTGCGTCCTCAAGAAAATTTATTCTTTGGTCTCAGGCTTAGCCTCGGCAGCGGGTGTTGCGGCCGGAGCATCAGACATTTCCTTGTTAGTGTCGGCGGCATTGTCGTTTTCTGTCTCGGAAGAGGTCCAGAGGGTCTATGAGGCACATTAGCAAGGCGATTGGACAATGGCAACATACGGAGAACTAACCAAGTTGTCTCGCAAAAGCTGCATGATGAGGGTAGAATCCTTGTAGCTCTCCTCACTTAGGGTGTCGAGCTCTAGTTGAATAATTAGCACCAAGGTTGTAAAATAAATTTGACCTCTGGGCTTCTAGGCACTCACCAGCGATCGCATCGTCAAAGGCCTGCTTAGCAAGATGGCATGCCTGGTCGGGAGAATTAAGAATTTCATAGTAGAAAACAGAGAAGTTGAGAGCCAATCCAAGGCGAATGGGGTGGGTTGGGGCAAGATCGGTCTGTGCAACCTCGGTAGCATTCTTATAGGCCTCCAAGGACTTGTCGGAGGACTCCTTGCGCTTGTCACCGAGGGCGAACTCGGCCAAATAGCGGTGGTAATCACCCTTCCTGTAGATAGATCAGTAAATAGGCTTACCGGAAAGGGTGAAATCTCCAGCACGGCAGGTAATGAGCTTACATCTTATGGTAGAAGACCTTCGACTCCCCCGATTGAGCGGAGGGGATCAAATGTTTGTCAAGAACTTCTAGGATATCTTCGCAAATCTTTGCGAGCTCGGCTTCGATCTTTTGACGATATTCCTTGATGAGAGCAACTTGAGACTCATTGCCTTTTGACTCCTCCTTCTGCTCGATAGAGGTAACGATTCTCCAAGAGGCTCTGCGAGCTCCGATGACATTCTTATACGCAACAGAAAGTAGATTTCTCTCTTCGACCGTGAGCTCTTGATCGGCAGATGCGACGTTCTTCATGTTCTCAACCATCTCTGTAACGGACTTAGCACTAGCGCAGTGTAATCACAAAAACCTCGAACCAGCGATGGGTAACCTACCTTCATAACGTTCAGCCTGCTCGGCAAGCTTGGCAAGGTAGACGGAATCTTCGTATCCCATTTTGACTGATTTTTTCAGTAAAACTATGCAAGCTTTCGTGATGTTGTTAGCGAAGGTGTTATTGGGGTGATTTTCCAGGGCTGAGAGGGAGGGAGAAAAGAGAGGAATGACGAAATGTTGAGTTGCCCCGCTTCAACGAAAGTTCGTCAAAACAAAATTTGTTGCTGGGGCAGTAGGGAAAAAGTTTGCTTAAACCTCAAGCATCACGAACCCTAATGAGGCCGGCCGTGGAGGATATCGGGAATGAGAAAATAAGCAGCATCATGAGGAAAAATGCAAAAAACTCGGAGGAGGAGGGTAGTGGTGGTGGATAAGGCTAAGGTTATGTTGATGCTGATAGCAGAACAGGGCAGAACAACCCCGCTCTCCGCCCCCCTTACCCGACAACAGCACAGGAGTAGCAGAAGAGCGGGCTGGGGACAAGCTGTCGAAAAAATGAGCCGCTCTCTAGCTACTCACGGGGATACCTTGAAGGAGGAAGTTGCCCCTCGTTCGACTCGAATGGGAGAGGGAAGGGGGAAAAATAAATATAGGAAATGAGGAGGGGTAAATATTAGGGGAAGCAGCAGTTACCTTTGTAGTCGAAGAAGGTGTATTTATAAGGTTGTTGGATGGACGATAGCAGAGAAACTCGGAAGTAGAACGACAAGTGCGTGATGTGGTTGATGAGAAAGAAGTTTGAGGGAGAAGGGGGGGGGAGTGTGAGGTGGTTAAGATGAAGGACTTTCAAAAGATGGCGAAGAGGAAGGGGAAGAGGGTCAAGTCAAGCGGGTTGAGTGGGCAGAGGGCGGCAGAGAGAAAGGGGACAACAGCCAAGGCACGACGATCACTGCCTAATTCGGAAGAAGCAGATTTGCTGTGAAATTATGTGCGCTTTACGTTTGCCTCTTTGCCTGTCCGTGAGTCGATACTGAAAGGCGAGATGAAAAAGGGCCTGACCTGACAGCTAAAATATCAGTAACGTCTATAGCTTTGTGCTTTTGGTTCCTATGTTGGAGATAGGGAGGCCGTGGGCCTCCTCAGTAACAGGCTCACCATCGATAGAGTGCCAGCGGCCAGCTACGGTGCGGCAGCTAAACAGCGTTATCACACTACGAGTACTCAAGTAATGGATCAACGATATTGCAAATCCCACCGAAGATAGCTAGAGCTTCGTAGGTTTGTAGGAGTGCGGAGTTTGGACGTCAAAAACCAAATAAATTTACCGGTAAACATCCAAGCCAACCCTCTACCGGTACTCCATTCCATCGTCAAAACGGGAATAGTCCTCATACCGTACATATATGCATATATATATCAAAATTTCCATCAACGGGAAATGGAGGAAAATGCATTCCTTGCAAAATCAAGCGCTTTGTATGAATCAGGGGTGTCCAATACTCTCAGATGCCCTCCTCACTGCATAGGGACTCGAGCACCACATGTAGACTCCCGTGCGCACAGCACAAACCACCACCACAACAGCCGTCGGTCACAACCATCATCGATTCTACTATGCTGTTACTGCAAAATCTGGATTGTATCGCGGACGGTAAGGGTTTGTAACAAGACGTAGACCTAAATTTCTGTAGAGCTAGTGCCTCCCCCGGGCCTTCGAAGATGGCGTTTTCCCGGAGGATCGGGGAAAAGTACTGTGCGGGCAATTGTTTTCTACTCGTATCATATCATACGTATGGAGGCACCGCGCGAAACGGAACACCCCAAGCACTCGACATCAAGCCCTGAGCCCTCAATCGAAAGACTCATGTTTTGGGATTACACCCACGGCACTCTCCCCCCAATTGAAGGAAAATAATAAAAATCACCACGGATCAAGTCCTATTCTAGGGGACCGTTTTTTGAATGCCCTTAAGTAGCTTTTCCGCTCTTGATTCGTGGTTCCATACAAATTTCACCTGGCCGCCCAACCCTAGTTTGCGCACATGGTGGGGGAGGGGTGTGGTGGTGGTCGGTTTGAGGCGGAGAGCCACCCACTGTCGTCACTAGACTACTCATCTCACATCAAATTCATCCTCAACCACCACCACCTCCATCTGTTGTAAATTTGTCGTCTCATCTCATCCTAACAAAAACACAACCGAAAAACGAAAGAAGGCACCGCACCGACAAGCAAACATGCTCCGCACGACCATTGCCCGTACCTTTCGTGTTAACCGTATTGTTACGCTTCGGTCCTACACCGAGGGAGCGACCGGTAGCGGAATTACCCGTCCAGGCGGTGAAGCCGCTGGGTTTGTTATTCATTTTTCCACCTTTGGTAGGCCCTGGTGGAGAATAAGTAGCTGACATCTACAATTAGTGATGCTTTCACCAAACGAGAGAAGGCAAACGAGGACCTTTACGTCCGCGCACAGGAGAAGGCTAAACTTGTAAACTTCCCCACCCTCTCTCTCTGTACTCTCTTCTATTCGAATGCGGACATCGCTAACGAGGAAATAACAATAATAGTTGCAATTGAAGGAAAAGCTCGCAAACCAGCGTAAGCACTTGGACGAACTGGATGCTCACATGTGTGTCCCCCGATATCGAATCTCGAAAATAGAAAACACCAAACTAACGGTAGCCCCACTACAGCGACGAACTCACCCGGGAACAGGGTGGAGAGCACAACTGATTCCCCTTTCACTCGGCAAGCAGGGGAAGGGCTTCTGAATGGTATATCCGGTTATCGGAGGGCGCTTCTTTTTCCTCACTTTCTTCGTAAAGAGGGGGAAGGGATGGAACAAAATGATTCAGTAGCATAGGCCATGGGCTGAATGAGTTGTGGTTTCTCATAACGGGACAGTTCAATTCAAAGTTTGAGATACTCCCTCTACTCCTTGGTGTTTTTGAATTCTAGCAACACTATTACTGGGACCATGGATGTCGTGATGGTGGGGCGGGAGAGAAAGGAAGGGGAAGGGCATCTTCTGGTATGGTGCCATACTGGTAGCCGCATTCGGGCACTGGCCCGGGGAGGAGATGCTGGGGGTTGGAGGGGTTCTGGGACGTGCGAATATCTGGCTTATCGTCCGTCCTACCCCTTGTGACCCGTTCTGGCCGTCCCCGTTACCGTCCCAACTCGTGGTTTCAGGAGAGATTTGTGAGAGCGCTGTAGCGCTAATACCCCTGGGGCATTTGAGAAGTTTGGCGATTGGTTTGACGATTGCTGCCGGACAGCCAACTTATCCCTGTGCCTGAGCTTCCACTTCTGCGAACATTCCATCTGTTATACTAGATGTTCTGGGCCCTGGAGTCTTATGTGTGGGCCGTGTCCAAGAAAGGTGGGGGCACGTAACGCAGATACTTTTATAGTGCCTGGTGCATAAATGGCCCGTTGTACTTTTTTAAAAGTCTAAGTCCATCGACTGTGAGCTATCGGACCATCGCTGTGATACTGCGCACGCTGGAAACATACTAGTGCTGTGGTAATCCACCTGGTCTTTGCCAGGGAGTAATAACGGAGGGTAAGTTATTGTGCGTTGACAAAATTAACCAAACATGGCAACCGGTACCTTTACTTCAATATCTAAAACTCAAGACTCCAGCAACAGATTTCTTTTAATAATATTAAACAATGTTATCAATCATATTAAGAAGGACAAAATAATTAATACCATGACCAGAAATATAGAGTATATAAATAAATTTTATTTAAAATATCCTAGTTATTAACAATTAAAGTAGAAATAGAAAGAGCAAAAACTCAAAATAGTAAAAATTTTGTTTTATAATAGATACTTTTATCTATATATGGGTGTTGATAGGGGAAAATTTGGATAGACACCTTAAACCCAGTTTTGTATAATTCTAGTTTTAAGTTTGCATAGCAACCAAAGAAAAATTGTAAAACATAAAAATATTTCATGCTCTTACATGTAATCAGTGTTATAAAATTCTTTATAGCAGTCAATTCTACTACTAAAAAAATGCTCTTAAATATTTTTCTGATAGCTGAAAACCCAGGCTATATATCTATGCAAAAAAGAGAAAAGTGTAAAATCTGAAAAAATCTAATTGTGAGTTTATAGATGCACAAATTTCCTTGAAAAATATTTTTTAAGAATATCAGAAGGGACTCTTCAAGTGCAAGAATAATTATAAGTATTGAAGCAAATTTATTGCATTAGTAGAGTGGTTTAATTTTTGCATATCAGCACTCATATTATGATATAAGGGGCAGGGTCTGAGGATTCAGATAGTTCAAGGTACACTACCATCTAAGTACAAGGTTAAGGTCAGAAACAGGTTTAAGGATCCCTGGCTACAGATACCTCCTACTTGATGTGACCATATACTCTATAAAGGATCTTCTGCCATCCACCCTCTCTCAGGCCTTCCCCTACCTGATCGTACCTCAGATGTATGAGATGTTACTAGCAGGCTCTCCCTTATATCATAATCTTAAGTTGAGGCTAAAGGATTCTCTGTTATTGGACAGAAAAGAGCTGTGATTGCCTTAGGTGCCATACCAGTTTTGCCCTTCCAAGACTCCATACTTTATGGGCCTTTCAAGGTTTGTATCAGGTCAGCTCCATCAGATGTAGTTGAGAAAGAGCTACCTGGCCACTTACAAGTCCTAGTATTCTGGTGATGAACCCTTCCTATGCCCCCTCTACAAGGAAGGGAAGGAGGTTTTTTAGTATGTTGTTCTATTTCACTCTGGTAAGGCCCAGTAGTAGGAGTATTAAGAATCCTACCTGTCATAGGATATAACAGGTAATGATTCTTTCTTATTAGTAAGGGGATAGTTCTTAGGTCTTTTATCTATATAATATTGATAGTTGAGTCTACAACTCCTATCTTATTATGCCTATTTCCTTAAAATAAGTAAGTCTCCTTGAAGACTTTAAGTTCTCAGGCTGTTTGTAGTGTAGAAGGAGAGACAGGTCTTGAGTCTTTAAAGGTGATATTAAAGAGCATAAAGTAGTTTATTATAAAAGTAGGGTTCTGGAAGGCTAAACTTTGTACTAGCTTTTCTAGAAAAAGTGTGATAATTTTCCCTGCAATGGCAACCATAATACTCATTCTATATTTTGTTTCAAACTAAGAGTACAGTACCCTATATTATAAATTACAGTGATGCTTGACTTCATGTATATATCTATTGGTTAGTATAATAAAAACTTGTTCTATAGTTGCAGAATACTAAACTCTTAGGTCCCATTTGATATGCTATTTTTATAGTATAAAAGTGACTTTTATAGAATAAATAATAGAAAGTAAAACTTTTTATATAGGGGTGTGTTTAGTATATATAAAAATACAGTTATTTGACAGGATGCCCCTCTTCAAATACAAATTTGACAGAATGCTACTCTAAAAAAAAGGTTTGATAGAATACCCTCTACTACAAGTTCTTCCACCAAATATTTTCCACACAGTTTATCCCACCTCCAATAATATAGGTCTGACATAGCAGAATGTATTAAGAGATAAAAGTAAATATATTACAGTAATATATAAAAGCAAGTACTAAACATGGAATTATAGATGTATTAGAATATAATAATCAACTATGGTTCAGGAAGGGAAGACTGTCAACCATGTGGCACAGGCAGATGCAACAGTGGCTGTGTAGAAGTGGCTATGCAATTTAAGTGCCAAGGCTATGAGTAATGGCTTGTGAAGTAAAATACAACTTTGAAGGAAAGATTGTATACTAGAATAAGAAATAGAATAAGAAAGTATATATGTTTTAATTAACTAGATATAACAGTTTGTTAGTCTGATACTCTGCAATGCCTTCAATATGTTTTTGTGACCTTCTCTTTAAAGTCAACAGAACCATAAGTAGTACAATCTTAATAAGTTGGTCGGCTTTTTGGCTTGCTGCATGGCATTACCTTTTTCTTTTACTAAGTCTACTCATTCTTGTATTTGATTTGTGATGCTTGATTGCTGTCTGTTTTTAGTAGCTTCAGTTTTAGGTCACCTCTTCCATGATATCTACATGATATGGTTTCAGACATCTTAAGTGTACATCTCAGAATTTGTGACAGGGGACGGCTTGGCAAAAGAAAAAATGTATATATGTTTAATTCCCAATAAGGTTAGAGTTTTTTTATTAATTGTCAAGCCACATGAGGTGTCAGGGAGGGTAATTTTAGTGAAAATGATAACACATCATTGGCAGAAAAGAAGTGATTGTAAAATCTAAAAAAAATAAATATATATATAATATACCATGATATGATCTATTGATATTTTATATATTGATATGTGGCTTCAACATATTAAAAATAACTAGGTTGAGTCCAGGACTTAGACATCTGTTTACTTTTTGAACTTGTGGCTAAATGGCAAGCCGTCCTCGGTCACAAATTCTGAGGTGTACACTTAAGACATCCGGAACCATAGTAGGAAAATGTCGCTTAGTCAACTTTTTTATGTTGCATCCCACTGCCACAACCTCGAGTCTCATACCTAAACCTGGTCTTTTAAAACCTCAATTCGCATTCTTTTAGAGACTTCTAATATTGAAAAAAAATTGTACTTTTTTCTTCTTTAGTTTCATAATATTTGTACGATTTTTTTATATACTTTAGACCAGTATTAGACATGAAATTCAGGGTTGAAAACTACCTTCAATGAGGTTGACACTTATTGTAACCGGAGCTGGTACTCGGTTAAAGTTAGTTTGTTTTATGTTTTGTTTTAAGTATCGGTTGATACTTAGGTTGTTTTATGTTTTGTTTTAAGTATCGGTTGATACTTAGTTTGTTTTATGTTTTGTTTTAAGTATCGGTTGATACTTGGTTATTTTTATGTTTTGATTGAGTAAGAACATGAGTGAGAATTCATGATCGTACTCAAACACATGTACTTAAAAAGACCGCTGTTTTTCACTCTGGAAACGGCAGACTTTGACAGATAGTATTCTAATATACTTGGTTGAACGGTTATCTCTATTCTCCTAGTACACCACCGAAGCCTCCCTTAGCAAGCCCAAACTGTTACTCTCCGGTAGAGAAATACTCAGCTCCTATTGTACACAGCAGTGTGACTAGCGCCCCGGCGTGAACACGCTACATTTTTTTAACCTCAGCGAGTAGTTAGAATACCACAACGAATCTGGGCCTGATCAACCTACGAAGATTCAACTTGTCGAACAGTACCGGCAGAAGGGGCAGATCTTGGGGTCAGCTCCTGCATCACAAATAAGTGCGACATAGATCCACTTACAACTCGGAGTGGGAAACAAGTCCCACGAGAAGGCCTAACCCAAAGAAAAGGGAAGAAAGGTGCCACACCTGGTGAATTCCTGGAATCACCTGCGAAGGAACGCAAACCGCAACCCCCACCACTGTCATCGCCGCCCCCTCCCCAATCAAGCAACCCATCAGTTAGCGAACACAGCATGTCTAGTAGTGGAACACCCGGCCCTGGGCCACCACCACCCAACCCGCCAGCAAATGAAAAACCAAAGATAAAAATCCCACAACCAAAGTCGTTCTCAGGAAAAGGGGAAGACTTAAGACCAGAAGCCTGCGATAGATGACTTACTAGTGTACGACAGTACCTTACTACACATGGGATATCCATGACCGATCATAGATCAGGAGTCTACTTAGGAGCATTTTGCACGGATGAGGCTATGGAAGCCTACCAACAATGCATAAAAGAGTATCAAGAACCAGACAGGGTCAGAGCAATAACGGTATCCGGCTATCTACAAGATCGATTCCAGTCATCACGGAACAAGTATGAACTATTCGAAAAATTCAATGCAATATCTCAAGTGGTCAACCACAATACGGAAAAAATTACCGAAACCGCTACCACTCTGCTCATGTACCACTCCCGACTCCCAGCAGGAATGATAT